TTCAAAACGTTTCTTTGTCCCTTTTAGGCTCCTATAACTTAACTACAAACTAATTAAGAAAACAATGGAAAATATATCTACAGAGGACCAGAACGAATCTTCAAAACAAGAAAGAAATACTTGATAAAAGGTTAAACTTCTACAATTTCCAATTTGACAATGGACTTATATTATAAAAGGTATCTTTTCATTCTAGTTAACTCACAGAACATGAGAAATGGATCTCCTATTAAACTTCTACCCAAAAGGGAGTATACGGAGTGATCTTTTAATAGATTTTATTCCTATTATACTTAAATAATAAATTAAAGTAAATTAAAAGGTAATGTCAATACTATATATATTATTTTTGTGGCAAAAGCATCCCAGTACATTCATATGGATTTTGAACCGTAACAAGTATGTGGTAAAAAAGAAGATAACAATCAAGATTAACCCATTACCAATACTCTCCACCAAATATTGGAAAAACTGAACAAAATTGATGAACGAATTACTAGGTTAGGAGAACGTGCAAATTTTTCAGTTTTGAGAATGTGGTCTTTCGAGCCTTAGGAACTGAAGCAACTGCTAAATTCTTACTTTCTGAAAATAGACATCGGTCGTAGAAGGGGCTTAGACTGTTGAGGCACATTCCTGACTTTGGAATTGATAACTTTCAAAGTTAAAACTTCTGGTAAAGTACTTAGGAGAAAAATTAAAAATTTACACATTCGTGGTTTTGGCATTGTATCGACGATATGGTTGCATGTTTCCTCAGACGATGCAGTACAGTAGTTTGTTGACGAATTGAAAATTGTCTGAAACGCGAGGTTGGATTCGAAATCTTATATTCATCATGACAATTTGGAAATCACTATGTCGGCAATAACTCAATTGGTAAGAGCGCTTTACGAAAAACAAGTAAGGGTGGGTTCAAATCCCCCGCAAGTAGAATTTTTAAAAATTTTCATTAAATTTGTTTTCACCTTGGGAGTTCAGGCCGGGATTTTTTCATTTAATTTAATTATTTAAAATTAATTATGATGCCTTGGTAGGATTCCCCACTCGACCATTCACTGTTGGGTACTAATTAACAGTGCTGTTCCTAAAGTGGCGCTGGGAAACAGTAACAAAGCCTACACCGAACACGAGGCTAATAACCATAGCAGTTGATGCCGATGACACAAAAAAAAATTATTTCGTAGGGGTAATATTGGGATTTCCTGGAAATTTTTCATTCTATTTTTTCGGATATTTAACCGATAAATTTTCGGAACTTTAAACCCGATTCTTTTACTATTTTTTTATTTATGAACATAAAATTAAACATTTTAATATTGTTTATTTTTATTGTTAAATTAAATTTTGTTCAATTTACTGTTACTATTGTTTTACTGTAAAAACAATACTTTCGCTACCCATTAGGTTATATTGTTTTTTTAATTATCCGTAAAATATTTATGGACGATAATAATTCACAAGTAAAATATGAACATAATGCAAGTGTTATCAGTCATTTAAGTAATTTTTTCGTGGTATTTTTTAACATTCAAAAAAGTTTAAAATACCAATGTAATTATCTTAGCACCAGTGGCGTAGCGTATAGCCAGGGTTAATAAAAACTTGTTTTTTATGAATATTCTCCATGTACCGTTTTGCCACGGCAATAAAAAAGTGCTGTTTTGCAATACATGATTTACATTTACCTTTATATAAATTTGAAATTTACCTGTATTTATATTTGATATTTGTACTAATATTCACTAATTTAATTTGACAACATAATATTAAGCTCATTTATGTACACAGACATATTAATTTCATTATTTACAGTTCATCTAGAGTGCTTTTAATTATACAATCAATATTAATATTATGTTTTGATTTCTTTTTTTTTTTGCTATTATTTTTTAAATGGTACAATAGCTCATAGATGTTGAGACTATATTTCCCAACTGCAAGATTCAGACGATTATGTCATTCTTCCCCTAACTATCGTGGTATGATGCCTTTCATTAAAACCAAAAAGGTTAGAAAGGGTAGAAATAACAGTAGTTTATTTTTATTTTTTATTACTTTGTTTTATTTTAAATACCTAAGTAACACGTTTTTAATAAAAATATACAAAATTGTATTTTTTTAATAAATAAAAAATGTATCAATAAAAATGTATAAAACACATTACTTAGTAATTTTATATATTTGAACCATATTTTTTTCAATATGTTTGTCAGATTTGAATTTTTGGCTACACAGGGTTATACAGGGTGGACCGGATTTAATTTGCGTACACAGAGATCTCGTAAACCGTAAAATATATATTGTCGGTTAAATGGGGAAAAAGTTTCGTATTTTGACGGATAATACAATGGTCCATAGAAGTTCCAGATTTTCTGACTGGTTCCGGAGATATTCGATAAAATCCGAAAAAACCTCATTTTCGTTTTTTAAGTCGTGCGTTGTTATAAAAGATACAAAAAAATGTATACGAAGTTTTTGTTATAAATCAAGTTCCCTATAATCTGCCATGTCAAAATTTTTATTACGACGTTCCGTATTTGCAGGGCCACCTTCAACTTATTTTTTTAAATACGGACCTGGATTTTTAACTGTAATTTTTTATAGCTTTTGTATAGCTAAATACAACGATATATTACACTTTACACAAAGAGAGACTCATTGAATACTTAACAATTAACAATCTGCTTCCTCAGCATCAATATGGTTTTACAGAGGGTCTTAATTCAAGTGATGCTATGCATGCACTAATATCTCATGTAGCTGAAGAAATGAACAACAATAAAAAATGTATCGCCACCTTTTTGGATTTAGCAAAGGCTTTTGACACAGTGCCACACCAAAAACGTCTCGATGTACTTGAAAAGAATGGGATAAGAGGCACTGCATGGAAAGTCTTTGAAAACTATCTGACTCAGAGAGAACAACAAGTTAAAATAAGAGTCTTAGTAATCCTGAATATGTACAAATTGGTATACCTCAAGGTACTGTCTTAGGGCCAATATTATTCAACTTATACATCAAAGGCTTGACTGAGATTGACATTCAAGGTAAAGTAATTTCTTATGCAGACGATACTGTGCTCGTCTTCAGTAGTAAAGATTGGGAATCTACAAAAATGCAAGCCATACAAGGAATTGAACATGTAAAAAATTGGTTAGATGTTTTTAAATTATCCTTAAATATCAAAAAAACGAACTATATAGCATTCTCTAAAACATTAGCTGATCGCCCTCATTTTAAAGAAATAGTTACCAGTAATTTGGACTCTAAAATACAAGAAACAGAATCTTCTAAATACTTGGGTATAATTATAGACCAACATCTAAAATGGGACTCTCATATAGCATATATATCAAAAAAGCTTAGATTTATAATCTATAAATTTTATCTTTTAAAACAATTTCTTAACCAAAATCTCTTAATAAGCCTATATTTTAGCTTGGTAGAATCTATTCTACGTTATGGTATACTAGTATGGGGAGGCCTATATGAAACAACCCTTAGACCACTAAATGTCATACAAAATAAAATACTGAAAATTATCTTCAACAAACAGCGATTATATCCTACTATTCTACTATATAATGAAACAATATCTAATGTTAGAAGTTTATACATGAACACAATATGCTGTTACATACAAAAACATGAGGTACTAAAAAAACCTCTGGGTCATCAACACAAAACCAGAACTTTTAGTAACTTGAATATTAAAATATCTATGCCTAATAGTGAATCTTTCAAAAATTGTATAAATTACTTAGGACCAAAGTGTTACAATGCTTTACCTCCTGAGATCAAATTAATTAACAAACAACATTTATTTAAGAAAGCGTGCAAATCCTTCATCTACCAAAACTACTCAAAATTGTATAGATTGTTCTTAGAATAACACACATCTCACTGTAATATGTTGGAACCCTGTAGATTACAAGATTATAACATTATTACATATTATATAATATAAGATTGCTGCCTTATTAATTTAACATTTATATAAAAATACATTACTTAACTTTATATTTTAGTTTTTTAATCTTTATGTGTTAGTTTTTTAGTCTGTCTAGCACATACAGGTGCCCACACCTAGGTGCTAACTTATTTACCTATGATTAATTTATAATTTGTTTATTGTTGTAATTAATCATGTTATTACTGTAATTAATCCTGTCAAACATGGAAATACTCTAAACAAATATGCATTTACACCATTTAAATAATTAAATATTTATATTTAAAATATTATAACAAATGCCTCCACCTAGATCAAATAATATTGAGATATTTAAACTAAATTCCTGATTGATCATTTTTAACAATTTTTTAGAATAAATATTTTCATTATTGTTTACCTACTTCGTGTACTGAAATTATTTTTAAAAACAAATATAATTATTATTAGTACTTAATGGATGGATAACAGGTACCCTCAAGGATTTGGAGGAATTAGAATGACTGGAAAGAAAAGGCAGAGTACACACTGCTTAGAAACTATGAAAGAATACCCAGGCACTCAAGGAGCTCTAGTAATAGAAAATGTTTGAATATATTGTCATATTGGTGTTGAGAAGAGCTAAGCCACACACTTATTAATTGGAGAAAATGAGTAAATAAGTTTGTAACTCTTCGGTTAAAACAACTTTTGATTTAAATCTTAAGTTATTTATGTACTAAATATGATAAAATTTGGTACAAAGGAAAACAGATCCTTCATTTTAAGACTGATTTAAAAACAAAAGGAAAAGAAATGTATGTCGCTTAACAATGCTTTACCTTTGAAAGAGATATATGTATTTTCACCTAGCTTCTTTCAGTTTGTGGGATTTTAAGGTTATAATTACAAAATCGCTTATTTCTCTTCACCATTGAATTTTTCAGAGTTGTATTATTTATGTGATATAATTAACTCATTTTGCCTAAAAATGTGGCTTAGCTCTTTTCACCACCAATACGACGATATGTGGATTAAATTGTACTGTGCATATTACAAAACTTACCTCTAAACTGCTTACGATTTTCTGATCAGTAGATTCATAAATGCTTCTAAGAACATCTATACTTTCACTAGACTCTATAAAATTCTCGTTTAGTTCATGTTTCAATTTCTTTTCACATTCAACTAGATTTTCAAATTTCGGACTGGACACTATGAGATTTGATACAGAATCTTCACTTTGTAATTCAAGATGTACCAGCTTTTTTAAAGTATCTACAATTTTATTACTGTTACCATTCAGGTGCACTTTAATAACTTTTTTAAATAACGGTTCCAAAGCATATTGCTGTAGATGTTTTTTTAATACATGATTAAATTGTTCTTCAAGAATGTCTTCTTTTAAAATAAATATTCTTTGTAGATATATCACAGGAAAAGGTAAGTTATCGCTTGTAAGTAACTTTGCTGTTGGTGGTAACATTCCTTGAAGGTCACTTTCTGTCTTTAGTGTAAGTACATCTTTTATTTTAATTTCCTTACAACAAATATTTCCTAAAGCATTCAAAATTATATTATTGTTTAGCTCTCCTACAATTAGCAGTATGTCATATTGTTTAGAAAGGGTATTAAATTCAAGGCTCAATAATTCTTGTTCAGCTTTAATCAACAATTTTTTTACCTCAAAATTTAATATATTCAACTGGGGTATTAGGAATTCTCGAATCCCTTTTTCAGTTTTTACAGCAGGTGTTTTATTACTAACCAAAATAATAACTGCTGTTCTAAACATTCTTATTTCTTGTCACTTTAATACACAAAATGTGGAACTTCTTAAAATAATAACTTTAATATATTCGAGAAACACTAATATAAAACCTTACAGATCGTACTGTTTCACTGCAAGTGAAATGAAATTGCTGGAATGATAAATACATTTCAATTTCAAATAAATAGATTATCTGCTATCCAATAATTCATCTGTGTCAGAATACCTAACCTAATTTCTCTTTTGCTTACATAATCTTCTTCTTCTTCAATTTCTTCTTGGCCGGCCTCTTGCCCTTAAGCACTTTGTCAAAGGCATATAAGGCCGGCTTTAGGTCTGTATTTATAAACAGAACTCAGTCGAACTTGGGTAAGTCGTCCTTGAACGAACTAAAATCGAAGTTCGAGGTGGTTCCGGTCTCTAGTTCCGGTGGTTGTAGCACTTACACAACACGATGAAAGACATAAGGTCTTTTCCTTTGCATCGAAAGTGTAGCACTGGGACTGGGCTACACCATAGACATCATATTATCTAAGATAGACTCGCCCTACACACTGTATACTCAATACACTTTCTGTCCGCATGTTTTACCAGACGGGGAAAGGGGAATCGTACGTCGCACATTGACGTAGTGTTTCTGGAGGGTTTACATATATTTTTAGTAAAAATTATTTAATGACCAAATCAATAACCTATGGGTCTTCGGAATCAAAGGTAAATTTAAAGAAAACATATTCAATTTATACAGGGCATTCAAAAGTCATTTTATATTTTTTCTTATAGATTAAAATAGTAAAAGATTAGTAGATTAAAATTAAAAGTGGAAGAACATTTTTGTTAGTATTTTATTATATATTTTTTAAATACATGAAGAGCAAAGAGCAAGTAAAAATATGAAGCCATTTATTATTATTATTTTTACATGGGTACTGTTTGAAAACCTTTATTACAGGTCGAAAAAAGAATAATTTATATTGCCGGACTACCTTTTTTTATGAAATAAAAAGCTATTAAAAACAGAACAATTTTATTTCAGATACATAAATATACAAATATGATCTTTCTATTACATACCATTTGGGTTGCATGTCACGACACCTATTTTTAGAATTATTTGTGTAATGATATAGGACAGTAATCAGCAATGATTTTATAATATCTGGACAAGGCTAAAACACATTAGCTTAAGATTATCAAGAGATACTTTATTTCTAATTTGTCCGAATATAAAAAACACTAAAGGAAGCTTCTTTTGTGACATTTCGAATGTCATTTTACTATCAATGGTTACTCCTACAAACACTCTTGGTGAAGAATCTGCTCAATAGATTTATTTAGTGTTATAACTGATATTTTGTAAAGCATATTTTGGAATAAAATAGCTATTTGTGTATTAAGAACAGAAAGTAGCACCTTTGACAGTTGAGACAGAAAGTCTGTCGAAGAGAAAAGATTTATTTTATATTTCTTCAAAAAGGAGGAAAAATACAATATCAAAACTGTTATCTCAGTTATGTAATCATCATTTTCAGTATTTGTGTTTTTCCAACTGACCATTATTTTGTAATTGAGATGAAAAACCGTACGAGTCGCAGATATGTACGGTTTTTCACCTAATTTCACGGGTATAATCAGCTGTACTACATTAACAGCTAGGTATCTAGTACGGTTTTTAAGCTCAATGCGCTAGTTCAGTGTGATGTCATTTTGGTTCGATTGACATTTAATTCTAACCAAACTTTTAACAAAAACATCAATAAATTTGACATATACGTTTTTACTATTTTTATTTTATTTCAAAATATTGTTTACAGGTCATAAAAAATAGTTATATAATTGGTAACTAAACGATTGTATATTTGATACATGCTATCTACTTACTTTAGGAATATATTTATAAAAGTGAAAAAAACGATATAATTTAGGTAAACAAAACGAACAAAACGGACTCCAAAAATCTACTGTCACTTTAATTGTCAGTGGAAAAATAATTACATCATCACTGAACTAGCGCATCGATGAAGAGATAAATTTTAAACGAAATGGCTTATTTTGAAATGTCACATTTAAGACTTGTACGGTTTTCGAACTCACTGGTTCAATTGCAGAACACTGTTTGCAGTGAATCTTTTTCTTTAAGGATTTTACTATAAAACCCGAAATATAAGCAACTACATCCTGAATGTATTCACTCAGAAAATATATAGATAGGTAATCATGGTCACGAAGCTCATTTGTAAATTCCAAATTTTCTTTAGTGTCTGATTCGTAACATTTTAAATTTAACGCAATTTGGCTACTAGTGTTGCTACAATCGAAGATGCTGGTGCCATCTAAAGCAATTGCATTTGCAGTTTTATTTGACTTTACTTCATTATGAATTAATAATTTTGTATAACAATTTTGAAACAATCTCCATGTGAGATTGTTATTGAAGCATCTATTACGAACTGCACTAAAAAAAAGTATTATTTTTTTCTTCATTTTTCGCCTCTTCCACTACCTCTCCCAAAATTCTGTAAAATGTGATGATTACTGTATAATTTTAGAGCTTACATATAATAAAAATACCCATAATAAATACTGTGCTTACTTGATAGGTATAGCATTATGTTTTAAGATGTGTCTACCACTTAAATTTTCATAAATATCTGCCATACAAAAATGGTCAGAACATATACTAAGGCTTCCTTCATTTTCATAATGTTTTCCTCCACCAAGCATAGATTTTGCAGCCAAATTCCACGTTGAATAATTTCTCTAGGAAACCTGATCAGAAAATATAGAACATTATTATTTAAATAAATAATGCTAGTGCTAAATGCCATTGTAAACAACCATGCTAAAGTGCCTGCGTATAAAAATTTAAATAAAAAATATAAATTTAGGTTAATTGTAAAAAAGTAAAAAAAAATAAAGTAAGAAACCTCATAATTGAAAAAAAAAATCCATGCCATTGTAGTAATGTCGTCTATACGAAAAGGAACAACAAAACGGTGTTGTTATGGAGTATGTAAAAGTGATACGCGATACAAATCATTCAACACTGTTAAATAAATTAAGCCTTATTCCCTGTATATGCCTACGTCTATGCTAACATAATCTTATTTATGAAATGACCGAATAACATTCTTATTCTGCGTATTTCGGCACACTATACATTTCCTCCCCATCGTAAAAGTCCTTAATAAAAAGTTCAGGGTTTAAATTATTCTTGAAAACTACAAAAAACCACAAAAAACCACAAAAAACACAATAAAACTTGATCTGTCACTTCGACAACATCAGCAAAATGTCTTAGGTTGCCAAAGTTAAATGATTTATACCAAAATGTTTAATATTTCCATATGATACACATGTAAAAATAGATACTTAAAAGTCTTAAGTGATTGCAATTAATAAAAAACTCATATTGATGCTTTCCATTCTTTATTTCCTTTTTTTATTAGATTGTATTAAAGGTAATAGTAACTTTTTAAATAAAAATTTAATGTTTGATATTTGATGAAAGGGATCTGACAACATAGGAAGAGCGTACCGTCAAAAAAAAGTTGCGGACAAGTGTAATGTATACAAGGCGTATCTATTATCCGATATCTTTGGGCTACACCAATTCTGAAAATATCGTTCCATATTTACAAATTGTATGGATGGAACGATATTTTCAGAAGTGACGTAGCTCAGTGCTACACTTTCGATGCAAATGAAAAGACCTATTTAGTACAAGTAGAAGTTGGAAGTTGGAAAGGCTTTTGGTAGATAGAGAGGGGATAAACGTCAAACCACGTCGGACTCGGACTGCTTCGAGAATTTCGTAGTAATGTTTACTGTTTACCTGCCCGTGTCGTTTCATATAATAAGTAATTTTAATTTTTTTACCGGCGGAACCGGATAATCGCATGTATTTATGGACTAAAAATAATTATTAAACATGTATTATAATATTTGAATCATAATTTTACAAAATTTCAACAGCTATTCACAATTTATTAAACTATTTACTCGAAATTGTTAATAACATCTATAAAATAATTTTGTACGCCAATGTATCGCGTCCACTTCGGTTAAATCCGCCGAAAACCTGTCAATTTATGGGTATAAAGTGGGAGAACTGGCAAAAGGTTTTCCAACTTCTACTTGTGCTATAAACCACTGAACTCTGCTATATATTAAACTGGAAGAACAAAGCCGATCAACAAAATCAAGCCGCATAGCGAGGTGATATTTGACACTTTGGCGTCCACATGTGCGTATTGGAATGCACTAAAAAGGATCATCAAAATTAAATTTAACACTTATTACATTCAACTATGACACCTTTTAATTTAAGAAAATCATTTAAAAATGATGTTTGATTAATACACAGCTGAAACAAATGTTCCCATAATAATAATTATTATTTAAAAAAATAATAAAATTTGTCGTAGTACGCCCGTGGGAAACGTGACGTAGAATGCTCGAAATTGACAGTCTGGCGTCCAAATTGTCATGCACACCGACCGTTTTTTTCACCCATGTTAGCTTAGAAATTAGGAGTTGGGTTTATGTCATATAGCTATCCAGTTTAATATCAAGGTCGGTGCTATAAACTGGAATTTAGAGATGGATAGTAGCGAATCTATAACTGAGAGTACATTTACGGATTTGTTACTACCCATCTCTAAATTTACGGCCCTTACACAACGTTGGAAACAACCAATAATGTGTACCCGGCTTAAGGATATAGGGTTTTTTATTTTTTTTATTTTAAATGTTGACCACAGGAAGTCACTATATATTGTCTATTGTCATCTGTCACCTGTCACATCGAAAATGAAATTAACGTGAAAAACTTAACCCATTTATCACAAATTTAATAGAAATAATGTTAATAATACTGAGTTCATAACAAAAATGAAAATATAAATAATATTCAATTATTAAAAGTGGTATTTTGTCACAATAATGGACTCTGATGATTTGGTAAGTTGCAACTAATTTTCTCATTATCATGTCTGCATGCTATGAATTTTACATCAACTTTTCTTTGACATTATATTTATTTGCTTTTTGAATATTTCTATTTTTAATTGTTTCAGTGCAACATTGAGTTCATTGATTTGAACGGCGTAGAAGAAACTGAACAGCTTCGAATAAGAAATTCTCTACAGCAGTTGGATCCTAGTGTACAACTTCCTTGGATTAAAGACAAAAAAATACTTCTACGCGGTAAGTTTCACCTTACTTGTTAACGATCATATTTAAATGCATATTTTATGCCAGATCTTTAGTGCATCAGAAACATTTTACTATTTAATATTACAGTACTATAACTATTCTAGTTTTCTGATTTCGTTCTTCCCTCATTTTAAAACAAGTACTTAGTGCAGCTCTAATATATCAGAATATAAGAGATGCCTTGGTTTCATGCCTTTCTCAAAAAGGGTTGGTTTATTTTGTTTATACACCAGTAACATTTGCAATTGGTTGAAAAGTACTCAACCAACACATAAGGTATATTTTTTTAGTGTGTAAGTATTTTAAAAAATGAATGTGAATAGCTATGACTTCACTGTAATAGCCATAATTAAGGGTGAATGAAATAAGTAGAATTAGTTTTAAGAAGAATAACACCTTCATGATAACAATCCTGAACTGATTCTGAACGCTAAGGGAAAAATTAGACTGCATATTATAACTGGAGTTGTATTGTTTAAATGTTTATGTATGTAGGTGTTGTTGTGTATACGAGCAGGCCTATTAATTGGCATAATTACAAGGAAAATTACTATTAAATACTTACAATATAGGTGCTTATTACAGTTTACATAATTTTGATACCAGAAACACCATGGGATTAAATAATTATTACTTCCTTAATTGGACATGTTTGTAAATTGTTCAATAATTTTTTTTTTAAATGTTTTGTATTGCTCATACCAGTCTATATCATCTAAATTATTTATAATATAGGCTAAGCTAAGCATGATCAGGAGGGAAGCTCAGGATGTTATCCTTGCAAAAGGAACAACAAACATATTTGAGTTAAGCATTGGATGTGATGGAACACAAAATGGTATTAGGGCTAAGAGATCTAAGGAACATATTTGATTATTGTTGATTATTTTATACAAAAATAAGGTACATGTGATTTTGTGTCTAGTCTCAAGAGAAGGTATTTTAAACTCTATTCTTAATTGTGCTGTTCTAATAACATAGTAATCAGGTCTGATATGGTACTTTTTAAAGTAAAGATATCTTAAGAATTTGTTTTGTATTTTCTCTAACTCTTGCTAAATGGTTTGATATTCTCCAAGCTATATCTAATTTTGAACGGATTAATGAAAGATATAAAATTATTAACAAATTAATATCAGAAAAGTGCCGCTTTACAAGTATTCTCAATATGAGTAGAAAATGATAATTGTATGTTACCCCTAGATCCTTAACTTGATAGCACTTTTTTTAATGACACACTATTCATTTGATAGTCAAATACAATCGGTTGTTTTTGCTGGGTAATAGTCATATAACAACATTTGTTAATGTTAAATTCCAATTTACATTTTTGACTCTAATTCATATATAGCATTTATATCTTTTTGCAAAGAAACGCAATCGCGTACTGTTTGAATTTGTTTATAAACATGTCTAGCGAAATAGGTAGGGTTATTTCTTGCTTTCTGGACTTAATTTTATTTAGACCCTTCCATAAATCCTTGGATTTATGTGAATTTAACATGGTTCATCTTGTCAAAGGCCTTGAAAAAGTCTGTATACACAGAATCTACCAGTAAACCCTTTTCCAAAACTTTATACAGAAAGTTGGCATATGTTAATTTCAGCAGATTTGCCTGGTGAAAAACCAAATTGTTGGGAATTTAAGATATTGGTGCAGTCGTATGTTAATAGTTATTATACTTTCAAAGATTTTTGGGATTGTGCTTAGGATGAAAATGGAGCAATAATTTTTTACATCAGATGTGTTGCCTGAATAGTAAATGTGAGTAACATAAGAAAGTTTCCAAAAGTCAGGAAATTTACCTGTGCTCAGTGATTTGTTAAAGATATGAAATAGTGATCTAGATAATACAAAATTACATTTTTTGAGAAAACTGGGTGGAATTCCATCAGGGCCTGGAACTTTATTGTTGACAGATTTTCATAAATCTTAGTAATTTGAATAAAAATAAAAATATCATAGATTGAATTTCACTATTATTTAAATTTAGAGTTTGGTTCGTGTATACAGGAAAAAAATGACTAGCAAATAGATTGGCAATGTCATTGAGTCAGGTAAAGAATTATTTTCTCTTATTTTATACAAATTGTCAGAACGCTAACATTTTTTACAACAGAATTCTCAGTATTGCTTACTTAACTAGCATAACACTCTCTTGATAACATTTTGCATTGAGCTCTAAGTTGACTGAAATGAATGTACTGTTCAGGAGACAGTACATTTATAAGTTCTATGGGCTACCTTTTTATCATTTAACAACTGTCTAAGCTGCAGAGAATACCAACAAGGTAATGTACTCTTACTGATTTTATTCACTAGATTCTCTATCACTGAAAACATAACATTATAGAATATGCACTCCATATTAGAAAGCTCTTTACCATGAATAAGAGCATCCCACTCAATTGCTTCCAGACACTGGGTATAGCTGGGAAATCTGCATTATGGAAATCAGTAGTAATCCGTTCCAGAGGATGTATTTTTATTGACATAAAGCTGCAAAGTAGTTAGAAGTGGGGTATGATAAGAGTCTGGTGGAATTAAAATGTCAACAGCTTTGGAAACTGTAAGTTCATTAGGTGAAAGTACTAAGTCAAGAATAACTCCTCTACTATTGGCCACCCTGTTTGATTGGAATAGGTTATGTAAGGCACATATATTTAGGACAACTTCAGTCACTTCAGCTTCCGTTAGTGATGTGTTGTGCTCTCCAGTTGCTGAGAAACAATAATCTTCCACTTACCAAACTGCAGGTGGAAAATTATAATGGGCCATATAAATGGATCTTGGAGTTTGGATATTGTTCACTTAAGTGTGTAATCTGATCAAAGTGGATTTGATAGTAAATAATAGGTGACTTATAGTACACCCAGGATACATTATTATTCATGTGTACAAACAGCAGTTTAATTGATGTGTTAATAATAATAATAATAATAATAATCTTTATTTTGAGGAACAATCATAATACATATAAGTCAATTCTTAAACAAAACAGTGTCAAGAAAAATATATTAATGATCACATAGAGTAATATTCATTAATTTTATATCGATACCTTTTTGCCAGACTATCGTAATATATTGATACCTTTTTGCCAGACTATCATAACTGCCATTTGAACAAATGTCACTTATGTTAGTCTGGCAAACAGGTATCAATATGGTTCTAAATTAATTAAGAGCAAACATGACGGGCGCTCCTCCGCCAAAAATCAATTTTACATTTGAGGAAGTTAAAAAAAATTGTAAAAAAAAATGGTTCAGGCCAATCGCTGTAAAAATGAACCAAGAATGACGCTAAACCGCGAAAACTTATATTTTTAAAGAAAAACAACAAAAATTTCAACTTTTTAACAAATTTAATTTTTTGGCTCTTTAGCGTCATTCTATAACAAATATCTTAACTATTTTCTAAATAACTTTTTTTCAAAAAGATTACCAATTTTAAACAGGACCGAAGATTAACATAGTTTTCATTCCGATACTAATTCTATTAAAACAATGATACCAGTGAATACGGCAACGCTGCTAACCTATGAAGCCCGTGGTTAAAAGGGTAGCTGCTGTTTAGTTAAATTTGTTAATTCCTGTGTCGAAAAATAGGTAGTTGTTTTTGAAGAGGTATGAAATTATTGTTGTTGAGGCCTTGTTAGGTTTTTGTTTAATTTAGTTTTTAGTTAATTTATGAAATGAAAAATTCTGGAAGGCAAAAATGCACAGCTGACAAATTTCTATTTCATTTGTTTGCTGCCAAAGTTAGTAAATCCTAGAGAAATACATGTGGCAATTAGGGAAAAGAGATTGTCAAGAATATTGCCCGCTTAAAAAAATGTGTAATATACAGGGTGTTTCTAAATACATGCGTATGAAATTAAGATGGGTCTTTCCTATAACAAAATTTCCTCAGCCCACCCCTTTCCGAGATATCACCCTTAAAAGGTGGTGACTAAAATTGAGTTTTTATTTTTTTTTTCTAAAATTTCAGTAAAGCTAGAAACTTGAAATTCTGTAATCGCAAAGGACTAACCATGGGTATTTTTTCAATATTTCTGTTACACTATAGGGGGGTGAAATTAGCAACACTTACTTTATTTCATATCAAAACTTTTTTCGAGATGAACTTTTATGAAATCCTTGTTTTATTTAATTTTTTTTTATTCTTGAATTTTTTCTTAATATAATCCCGAAATTTAAACTCTTAATGTCTTGGTAATGATTTTTTAAAATTCGCCAAAATTAGTGGCTAAAACGCCTCGTTATGTGCTGCCTTCGGGTGTAACGCGCTTATCGTATCGTACACTCTGTCATTATTCGTTTCTTGCAATAATTTACACCAGAAGATAGCACTTAACGAAGCGTTTTAGCCACTAATTTTGGCGAATTTTAAGAAATCATTAACAAGACATTAGGAGCTTAAATTTGGGGATTATATTAAGAATAGTGCTGTCGAGGAATGTATTTATTTTCATTATGATATTTCAAAATTAAAGCCCTTTTAGTTTTTTTGGGAAACTGGAAGGAATTAAAACATTAAAATATATGCATATTATAGATATTATTGCCTAATTTATTTTGCCAAAATTTAAATATTTTGAGATATTCTTGTCCGAAAATTATAAGGGGTATGATCACCTTAAGATTGAAAGAGAATTAGCTTTAATTCATGAGATGCAAAGCATCATAATTGTCGCGTCACAAAAACCACCTGCTGCCAAGAGAAAATTTTGATTCAACAGTATTGTATATTTTTTGTTGTAAAAGAGAAAAAATTAACATTTCGTGTTTTAATAGTTATTTTTTTAATTTAATAATCTATGTGAAAAAAATATTTTTAATACAGATATTAAAAAATTGTTATTTTAATATACTTATTTAATTGTACTTATATTTGTTGTTCCTTTAATACAATAAATACAATTTACCTATCTCCAATTCATCACTTTCCGTATCCATATACCTAGGGTCCGATTACAATTATAAGAACA